TGAGCCACTGCGCCTGGCCAGAAATACTGTTAAGTAACAGCAGTGAGAGCCATTAAAATCTAAAGACAACTAGAACCTGGGAGAAGGCAGCAAAGGAGCCCCAGGGCTCTGTCTGGCCTCCCCTCTAGCCACAGCACAGAGGCTTTCCTGATTCTGCCCTTTTGCTGAGCCTTAGCTCCCCATTCTAGGGACAAAAGGAGTGTTCCAGACAAAGGTCAAGCCTTGCCAGGGACAAAAAGTGCCTAACTGGGCATGGTGGTGCTTGCGACACTGGTGATATTGCCAAGAATAGTCTGAGGACTAAATTCACTCCCCAGACTTCAGCACCACCCACCAAAACTGCCTGGTACACTTTCCCTCTGAAGTAGGATCAATAATTTACCCAAATAACTAAGCAAAATATATTTTAAAAAAAAAATAGATTCGTCATTGTCCTTCCATCCCCCCTTTTGTTACTCTTTTACTTCTTGTAACTGTCTTGCTTCAAATTCAAACTACAGCTCTGGGGAGGAAGTCCTGGGGAAAAGGCTTTCAGATACCAGTACCTATATGTCCCGTACCAGCCCAGCAAACCGAACAAGGTGCCGAACACCTTCTGGGACAAGTTGTGGAAATAAACAGCTGTGCACAGAAACATCAACACCCAGATGAAAGTCAGAATGCCCAGGGCCACCACCAGGGTGGTGATGGCCGTGTGGAGGCAGTGGCTTCGGTCTGTCTTCACCTCATGCATCACAGACATCTCTTCCACAATCATGAGGGCGCAGAAGGTCAGCAGAAAGGAGTGACCTGAGATGTCAAAGCCATGCCAAAAGCCCCCTTCCCGGTGGCACTGCTGCTTGCTCTGGTGCTCCTTCCTGACCCCCTCTAGGGCCGGGGACTGGTAGCAGGTACCTGTGTAGTGTTCGATGTTGGAGAAGATGGAGGTGCAGACGTACCAGACGGCCGTGCCCACAAGCAGGGTGCTCAGCCGCCGCAGGACCAGGCCAGCCTTGCCGGTCAGGTGGTAGTTGGTGAGGGCAATGAACGGCAGGAGGAGACAGAACGTCCAGGCCCAGGCCATTTTGACAAAATACCTGACAGAGGAGGAAAGCGGAAGTGAAGAGAGGGAACATGGCGGAGAGGACACCATGTCAGGACTCAGGTCTCTAGACTGCCAAGGGAGGGAAAATGAAAAAACTGATCAAAGCTACAGATCACAGCAACTATCATGTTTTAAATACTTACCATATGCTTCACTTACTAAGTACTTATTTTTTTTTTTTGAGATGGAGTCTTGCTCTGTCACCCAGGCCAGAGTGCAATGGCGCGATCTCGGCTCACTGCAACCTCTACCTCCTGGGTTCAAGCAGTTCTCTACCTCAGCCTTCTGCATAGCTGGGATTACAGGCACGGCCACCACACTCAGCTAATTTTTGTATTTTTAGTAGACACGCGGTTTCAGTATCTTGGCCAGGCTGGTCTTGAACTCCTGACCTTGTGATCCACCTGCCTCAGCCTCCCAAAGTGCTGGGATTACAGGCATGAGCCACTGCACCTGGCCTCTAAGTACTATATTTTTAATTTTTTTTTTTTTTTTGAGACAGAGTCTCGCTCTGTCACCCACGCTGGAGTGCAGTGAAGCAATCTTGGCTCACTGCAACCTCTACCTCCTGGGTTCAAGCGATTCTCCTGCCGAGTAGCTGGGATTACAGGTGCACATCACCATACCTGGTTAATTTTTGTATTTTTAGTAGAGACAGGGTTTCACCATGTTGGCCAGGCTGGTCTCGAACTCCTGGCCTCAACTGATCCAGCCGCCTCAGTCTCCCAAAGTGCTGGGATTACAGGCATGAGCCACCATGCCCAAACCAGCCCACAACCCCTGTGTAAGTACTTTAAATGTATTAACCAGTTAATTTGTAAACGACTCTATGAGGTAAGTACTGTTATTATCCGCATTTAACAGAAAAGAAAACTAAGACACAGGGAAGTGCCAAACCCAAAGTGGAGGAGCCGGGATTCAAATCCAGGACCTGTGCTCTTAAGCACCATGTTATTTACTTAGGAAAATAATAATAATTGAGCATCTACCAAATGCCAGGAGCTTTCAGACACATTCGCTTTCCCACAGAGCACTCACATTTACCCTGGGAAGAAGGTACCATTGTTCCATTTTATAGACAAGAAATCTAAGGCTCAGAAAACTTTAGTACCTTGCCAGGGTCACACTCATATAACCAGCAAGCACAGATTCAACCACGATTTGGACAGCCCCAAAGTCCACACTATTTCTCTCCTACCATGTGTTTTTTGTTTTTTTCTTTTTCTTTTTTTGAGACAGGGTCTCACTCTGTCACCCAGGCTTACACGCAGTGGCACAATCATACGTCACTACAGCCTCAAACTCCTGGGCTCAAGTAATCCTCCTGCCCCAGCCTCACAAATAGATGGGACCACAGGTTTGTGCCAATGTGCCTGGCTAATTCTGTGTGTGTGTGTGTGTGTGTGTGTGTGTGTGTGTGTGTGCGCGCATGTGCGCACGCGCATGCGCACAGGCAGAGATAAAGCCTTGCTATGTTGCCCAAGCTGGTCTTGAACTCCAAACCTCAAGCAATTACCCTGCCTCAGCCTCCAAAAGTGCTGGGATTACAGGTATGAACCACTACACCCAGCCTGGTTCTTTCCCAATAGCACAGTCTTGCAACAATGAGCTTTACTTTAAGCCAAAGACCCAGGTTCAAATCTTGACTCTGACTTATTATACCTCCTACCTCTCCAGCCCTCAGTCTCTTCAGCTATGAAACAGAGCTGGGGACCAAATGATTTTTTTTATTTTTGAGACAGAGTTTCACTCTTGTCACCCAGGCTGGAGTACAATGGTACAATCTTGGCTCACTGCAACCTCCGCCTCCTAGGTTAAAGCGATTCTCCTGCCTCAGCCTCCCAGGTAGCTGGGATTATAGGTACCTACCACCACACCCAGCTAATTTTTGTATTTTTATTTATTTATTTTGAGATGGAGTCTCACTCTGTCACCCAGGCTGGAGTGCAGTGGCACAATCTTAGCTCACTGCAGCCCCCACCTCCCAGGTTCAAGCAATTCTCCTGCCTTAGCCCTCCAAGTGGCTGGGATTACAGGCATGTGCCACCACACCCAGCTAATTTTTGTATTTTTAGTAGAAATGGGGTTTCTTCATGTTGGCCAGTCTCGAACTCCTGACCTCAGGTGATCCGCCCGCCTCGGTCTCCCAAAGTGCTTGGATTACAGGTATGAGCCACTACGCCTGGCATGGCTCTTTCCTAATGGCAGAAACAGTCCTGTAACAAAGTTTTACTTTAAGCCAAAAGACCCGGGTTCAAAGCTTGACTCTGACTTAACTTACTATACCTCTAACCTCTCCAGACCTCAGTTTCTTCAGCTATTAAACAGAGCTGGGAGGACCAAATGATTTTTAAGATCCCTTCTAGATTTAGATTCACTAGTTCCCTCTCATTAATCAGCACAGAGACTTGGAACAAAAGTCCAGGATCCATGGCTACCCCCAGAACAGCAGGGGTGTGTTGTCAGCCAGGCCACTTGGCTCCCAGCTCACCTAGGCCAGAGAAAGCAGCAGCTGCCTTGTCTGCCTCCCCTGTGCTCACGAAGGCTGCCGACCTAAACGCAGGACAGAGACTTGGGGCCACTACCACCCTCATGACCTATTCTTAGCCCAGCCTCTCAGGGTGGGTGAGGAAGGACGGTGGGCCAAGGACAGAAGGACTCTTTTCTAGGTTCCAATGGCTTCTAGGGCACCACCCCAGGGCCTGTCACTAAAATCTTCACTGGGACTGATAAGGAAGATCTCACCAGAGCCAAGACCCGTCAGGCATTTGAGGGAGCTGCCTGTGAGAGAAACCAGGGTTTTAAGCAGATAACCAAAGTTGGGCTGACTTTCAGGACACGCTGGAGACACTTATTCTAGAAGACACTTAGGCTTACATCAAGGGAGCAGTTTTATCTTTCAGAATTCCCCTTTATGTCTGGAATGTTTTTGTGCAATAAACTTACTGGCCGGGAGTTTTGAAAAAAGAAGGCAAGCAAGCAAAGGAGTGGATGGGGGGAGCTAAGGCGCTGTCTCAAAGCCCCGGCTGGGACTGCTTTTCTGGGCTATTGCCATGCATTCTGAGTGGCGGAGATAATCCAAGGAGATCCAGGGGAAAGGGCACAGACTAGGGGGTTCCACTCCTCTGTGAGTATCTCAGAGCGGGGGCTCTGTCTGTCACAGGCTAGGGCGAGGCTTTTCCACAGGTGGTGATGGGGTTCTGCCACACGCCGCGGGGATCTGATTTGGCGCAGGGTGGGGTCTGTGCGGGGTCTGACACAGGCAGGCAGGGCAATGAGGTGGCATCTCCCAAAACAGGTCAGGGGCCAGCTCCTAACTCCAAGGGAAGGCGAGGGAATGGCGAAATGGGCTGTTTCATCCCCACCCCACTGCACACCCTACACACAGAGACACACACGACCCCGCTCGCCACCGCCTGCCCAGTCAAGCTCAGGCTGCCCAACGTAAGTCTGCAAACACGAACTGCTAGTGACACCCGCTACCCCGGGCCCCCCAGGAGCGACACGCGTGCAGATGCTACTGTCACGGCTGGGAGAAGGGCCTCCGCTCCAATGACTCGTCCACCACGGCAGCTAGCCCAGGCTTCGCTGCGCGAGGCGACAACGGGCCGGTCTGGCTGGGACAGCAGAAGACCGGGGTGCACTCACATGTTGAAGACGTTGCGCTTGTTGCTGAGGTAGCTCTCGGGCAGCGGGGACAACTCCTTGAGGAGGGAGCCCGCCAGCATGGAGGCCACCAGCGCCCAGGGCAGATAGCGCCGCACGGCCGCCCGCACTAGCGTCCCCCTGAGGAACCACGCGCAGCGCTCCAGATGCTCCATGCCCGATCTTGTCGGCCACCGTCCACCTCCTTGTGCCCTCTCGGCCACCGTATTGCCCTAAGCCCGGACCAGCGCCTCCGCCTCCCTTCGAACGCATGCGCGCCGCCCACGAGTCCCACCCCATGCGACGTGCTAGGGCTCCGGAGCCCGCGCGCTCCCCCTTGTGGCCGCTGGCTGCCTCTGCAGGGTGCCGGTCCCGAACTCCTGGCTCCCCTCTGCGCTCTCCTGGCTGCCCCGACGCCGCCAGGCCACACGCTGTACTCCTGCAGGTTCCAGTAAGCCTCTGTGTCTTGCTCTGGTCTGGGAAAAAGCGCTTGTGAAAGTATTTGCTGGAGGCTGGAGGAGGATAAATGTAGTCCTGGAGATTTGGAACAGTCGTCACAGCATCATTAAGTCTTTCTTGGAGCAAAATCTTTGGGCAAAGAGTTTTTTTAATTTGACTCTGAAAGTACTGGCAAGAAAAGCAAAAACAAAGGGGATTACATAAAAATGAAAACCAGTCCCGATGCGGTGGCTCACGCCTGTAATTCCAGAACTTTGGGAGGCCAAGGCAGGCGGATCACCTGAGGTCAGGAGTTGGAGACCAGGCAGGCCAATATGATGAAACTCTGTCTCTGCTAAAAATACAAAAATTAGCCGGGCGTGGTGGCGGGCATCTGTAATCCTGGCTACTGAGGAGGCTGAGGCAGGAAAATCACTTGAATCCGGAAGGCAGGGGTTGCAATGAGCTGAGATCCCCCCACTGCACTCCACCCTGGGCGACAGGGCAAGACTCCGTCTCAAAAAAAAAAAAAAAAAAAAAAAAAAAAAAAAAAGACAAAAGATAAAGTGTCGGTGAGGATGTGAAGAAAAAACAGCGCTTGTACACTGTTGGTGGGAATATAAATTAGTACCGCAGTTATGGAAAACTGTACCGAGGTTCCTCAAAAAACTAAAAACAGGATTACCATATGATCCAGCAATTCCATAAGAGCTGAAATCGGTATGTCAAATAGATGTGTGCACTCCCAAGTACATTGCAGCACTGTTCACAGCGGCCAACTTACAGAATCAGCCCAAGCGTCCATCATTGAGTGGATGGATAGATAAGAAAATGTGGTATATACACACGCTGAAATACTATTCGGCCTTTAAAAAAAGAAATAAATTCTGTCATTTGTGGCAATGCGGATGGAATTGGAGAACTTTATACATAGTGAAATAATGGATAGGGACACAGAGACAAATACCACGAGGACAAAGCCTATACTTATATGTAGAATCTAAAACAATCAAACACATAGAAGCAAAGAACAGAATGGTGGTTACCAAAGCCTAGGGGGTGAAGTGGGAATGGGGAGATGATGGTAATAAGGCCAAAGCCTTAGACAGGAGGAATAAGTTTTGTTTTGTTTTGCGGGCTATTGCATGGCATGGTGAATGTAGTGCATTATAGTGTACTATGTTTTGCTTTTTTTTTTTTTTTTTTTTGAGACGGAGTTTCACTCTTGTTACCCAGGCTGGAGTGCAATGGCGCGCTCTGCTCACCGCAACCTCCGCCTCCCGGGTTCAGGCAATTCTCCTGCCCCAGCCTCCTGAGTCGCTGGGATTACAGGCACACGCCACCATGCCCAGCTAATTTTTTGTATTTTTAGTAGAGACGGGGTTTCACCATTTTGACCAGGATGGTCTCGATCTCTTGACCTCGTGATCCACCCGCCTCGGCCTCCCACAGTGCTGGGATTACAGGCTTGAGCCACCGCGCCCGGCCTAATTTTTGTATTTTTAGTAGAGACGGGGTTTCACCACATTAGCCAGGCTCCTGACCTCGTGATCTACCGGAGTGCACTCATGTGTTGAGGACGTCGCGCTTGTTGCTGAGGTGGCTCTTGGGCAGAGGGGACAAGAATTCAGCTGGGCGCGGTGGCTCACGCCTATAATCCCGCGCTTTGGGAGGCTGAGGTGGGCGGATCAGAAGGTCAGGAATTTGGAGACCAGCCTGACCAACATGGTGAAACCCCATCTCTACTAAAAATACAAAAATTAGCCGGGCATGGTTGGGTGTCTGTAATCCCAACTACTCAGGAGGCTGAGGCAGGAGAACGGCTTGAACCTGGGAGGTGAAGATTGCAGTGAACCAAGATCACGCCATTGCACTCCAGCCGGGGTGAGACAGGGTAAGACTCCGTCAAAAAAAAAAAAAAAAAAAAAAAAATCCATGGGTTTATAATGGTACTTGAAAAACTAATGGCCACATTCAGAGGAACCAACTCATTATTTTGAAAACTAGTAAACAAAAGTAAAGAATCAAGCATTTTTTTTCTGTCTTTCCTATGTGAACTAAACCACTGAGCAACCAGGCAGTGGCAGTAGGTCAGTTTCTTTTTACAGAAATATCTCAATAAATGAAGAGGGAATGATAGAATATCACCATATGTAACATGTAAGTAAAATTTAAGTTTGTGATAGTGGTGAGTCACATTCATTAAAGAAGAGTGAGTTGCGGATATTCATAAACAGAAAACTCTTTTTTTGTTTTTGTATTTTTCATTTGTTTGTTTTTGGATAGGGTCTTGCTCTGTGCAGTGGCAAGATCTTGGCTTACTGTAACCTCTACCTCCTGGGCTCAAGTGATCCTCCCACCATCATGCGCCACCACACATGGCTAATTTTCAAAGCTTTTTTTTTTTTATTTTTTTTTGTAGCAACAAGGTCTCACTAGTTGTCTGGGCTGGTCTGGAACTCCTGGGTTCAAGCGATCCTCTTGCCTCAGCCTCCCAAAATACTGGGATTACAGGCACAAGCCACTGCACCTGGCTGAGAAAAATTTAATTAATTAATTTCAGCAGCACTTACTAAATCTCTAAAAATTCACCTTAAGGCCAGGCGTGGTGGCTCAGGCCTGCAATCCCAGCACTTTGGGAGGCCAAGATGGGTGGATCACCTGAGGTCAGGAGTTCGAGACCAGCCTGGCCAACGTGGTGACACCTCATCTCTTTAAAAAAAAAAGAAAGAAAGGAAAAAAATTCCCCTTTTAAGTTTTAAATTTAAAAAATCAGATCATCAGAATTTTGATCTTTGCTCAAAATTTTATATTTTAGTCTTCTTAGCGTTGGATTTTGCAGAAGTCCCGTGGCTTCACGTTTACTGTGGAAATGAACTGTAACCAAAAAATCCATCTGCCTCAGAAAAGTAACACTTTCTTATTGCTAACTGTAATTTCAAACTCCATATACATGTCACTTGTTTTGCAAGAGTAGACTCTGAGTCTCTCTTAAGCAAATAAATACTCTTTGAGTTTTTAAAAACTCTCACTTGTCTCTTTATTTTGATGGCAGTTTGAGTTTTTGAAAAACATAAAATCACTAACTTTGTGGAATTGTTACATGGAAATCATCTGAGGCTATGATTGTGCTTTGGCCAGGTTGGACATATATATGTATAATATTAGGTATTATCAATATATTAATATATAATATATTAATTAGTATGTGTGTATATATATAAAGATTAAAGTAAAAGGAAATTTAAGTTTAAAATGCCTTCTCATAAAGAATTTTTCTCTTTTTTTCCCTTAACTCAAAGGAGCATATCATAAAGAATTTTGGGGCTGGGTGTGGTGGCTCACACCTGTAACCCTAGCACTTTGGGAGGCCAAAGTGGAAGGACTGGCTTGTACCTAGGAATTTGAAACCAGCCTGGGCAACCTAGCCAGACCTCATCTCTCTCTTTTTTTTTGTCTCAAGTTGGAGTCTCCATCTGTCATCCAGGCTGGAGTGCAGTGACACAATCTTGGCTTACTGCAACCTCTGCCTTGCAGGTTCAAGTGATCTTTTTAAAAAAAAAAAAAAATTAAGGCCGGGCGCAGTGGCTCAAGCCTGTAATCCCAGCACTTTGGGAGGCCGAGGCAGGTGGATCACAAGGTCAAGAGATCGAGACCATCCTGGTCAACATGTTGAAACCCCGTCTCTACTAAAAATGCAAAACTTTAGCTGGGCATGGTGGCGTGTGCCTGTAATCCCAGCTACTCAGGAGGTTGAGGCAGGAGAATTGCCTGAACCCAAGAGGCGGAGATTGCGGTGAGCCGAGATCGCGCCATTGCACTCCAGCCTGGGTAACAAGAGTGAAACTCCGTCTCAAAAAAAAAAAAATTAGGCTGAGTGAAGTAGCTCACACCTGTAATCCCAGCACTTTGGGAGGCCGTGGCGGGAGAGCACTTGAGGTCAGGAATTCGAGACCAGCCTGGCCAATACAGTGAAACCCAATCTCTACTAAAAATACAAAAATTAACTGAGCATGGTGGTGCACACCTATAGGCCTAGCTACTCGGAAGGCTGAAGCATGAGAATCACTTGAACCCAGGAGGCAGAGGTTGTGGTGAGCTGAGATCACATCACTCCAGCCAGAGTGACAGAGTGAGACTTTGTCTCAAAAACAAAACAAAGCAAGACGACAACAACAAAATTAGTCAAAGGGGTGTCATATATGCCTTGCTACTTGGGAAACTGAGGCCGGAGGATCACGTGAGCCTGAGCAGTCCAGGCTGCAGTGAGCTGTGATTTCGCCACTGTACCTTGCATGAGTGACAAAGTGACACCCTGTCTGAAAAAAAAAATTGTTCTTTATATCTATATTAGGTTAAAATGCCAGTGATTCATAAGGAGATTAAATTCTGCTGGGGACAGAATACTAAAAAATAAGGGTGTTTATTTCCATTTTAAAGTAAATTGTTGGCTGGGTGAGGTGATGCACGCCTGTAATCCCAGCACTTTGAGAGGCTGAGGTGGGCGGATCACTTGAAGTGAGGAGTTTGAGACCAGCCTGGCCAACATAGTGAAGCCCCATCTCTACTAAAAATAAAAAAATTAGCTGGGCGTGGTGGCATGTGCCTGTAGTCCCAGCTACTTGAGAGGCTCAGGTATGAGACAGAATCGCTTGAACCTGGGAGACAGAGGTTGCAGTGAGCCAAGATTGCACCACTGCCCTCCAGTCTGGGTGACAGAGTGAGACACTGTCTCAAAAATGAAAAATAAAGTAAATTAGTTACAGGAAACTATGATTCCACCACGTATTCCAGCCTGGGCAACAGGGCAAGACCCTGTCTCAATAAACAAATACATAAACAAACAAATAAATAAAGTAAACTGGCTTGTATCACTTGATTAAATGGCAAAATGTAGGAGTTCTTTATGGGTTAGGAGGATCCATCAAAGATTCCATTTAAAATATCCTTTAGGTTGGGCGTGGTGGCTCACACCTGTAATCCCAGCACTTTGGGAGACAGAGGAGGGCGGATCACAAGGCCAAGAGATTGAGACCATCCTGGTCAACATGGTGAAACCCCGTCTCAAAAAAAAAAAAATATATATATATATATCCTTTATAATGTACTTGTTCATGTGTACTTGTTTCTGTCTCCCCTAGAATGTCAGCTGCAGAGGGTGGGTAACTTTATCTGTCTTGCTCATTGATGCATCCCAAGTGTCTAGAACTCTGTCTGACAACCACTAAGCACTCCAAACAATGTTATTTTGTCTTTGAATAAATTAAAGAATTTTATTAACACAGTTATCTAAAGGAACTCTTTTTTTTTTTTTGGAGACGGAGTTTCACTCTTGTTACCCAGGCTAAAGTGCAATGGCACGATCTTGGCTCACTGCAACCTCCGCCTCCTGGGTTCAGGCAATTCTCCTGCCTCAGCCTCCTGAGTAGCTGGGATTACAGGCATGTGCCACCACACCTGGCTAATTTTGTATTTTTGGTAGAGACAGGGTTTCTCCATGTTGGTCAGCCGAGATTGGCACTGGCCACGGGAACAGTAGGAAGCGGTCATTCCAGGAAAAGCAACCAGCAGGTGCCTTTTGTTGGCTGGTGTGCATGAAATAATTCACTCTGGGTTGGGAGTCAGGGGCGGCAGCCGAGGCGTTCTCCCAGTGGGAGGCCCTCTTTGTCCACAGCTACTGGCCAGTGAGCAGGAGGATTCATCTCCACACCAACTCCTTCCTTCTGAGCTCTCCTCTGCAATGCTTCCCCTCTGTTAACCTCTAGCCACCTCTCTTTTTGCCTGGAAGGGACAACTAGCCACTCCCTGGGGTGAGGCAGCTGAGCAAAGCTGGTGTCTGCCAGAGGCCAGGCTGCCTGACTGCCCCACCGGGAGGGGCTTGTCTCCACTGGCTGTTCCCGGAAACACCACAAGCCCAGGCTACCCATCATCTGGGCCCATCAGGGGCACAGGCTCAGCAGGGCTGGTGGCTTTACTCAGCTGCAGGGTGAGTGGCAGGGAGGTTCCTGGGACCCTAAACATCCCTGGCAGCCTAAAGACCCTCCTGCTCCCTCTGATCACTGTCTCCTGCAGACTCCAGTACTTCCTATCTCAGGCAGGTCACGGCCTGGGAGGAGAGGAAGCTTCTGTTACCTGAAAGACCAATGGTAGGTCAGGCAAGGTGGCTTATACTTGTAACCCAGCACTTTGGGAGGCTGAGGTGGGAGGATCACTTGAGCCCAGGAGTTCCAGACCAGTCTGGGCAGCAGAGACCCTATCTCTATTTAAAAAGTTTTTTTTTTAATTAGCTGGGCTCTCCGGGCACAGTGACTCACACCTGTAATCCTAACACTTTGGGAGGCCAAGGCAGGCGGATGTCTTGAAGTCAGGAGTTTGAGACCAGCCTGGCCAACATAACAAAACCCAGTCTCTGCTAAAAATACAAAAATTAACCAGGCGTGGTGGTGTGAGCCTGTAATCCCAGCTACTGAGGAGGCTGAGGCACAAGAATTGCTTGAACCTTAGAGGCAGAGGTTGCAGTAAGCCGAGATCATGCCACTGCATTCCAGCCTAGGTGACAGAGTGAGATTGTCTCAAAAATAAAATAAAAATCTGGGCATGGTGGTGTATTCCTATAATCCCAGCTACTTGGGAGGCTGAGGAAGGAGGATTGCTTGAGCCCCAGAGCTTAAGGCTGCAGTGAGCCATTATCATGCCACCGCACTGTAGCCTGGGCAACAGAGCAAGGTGGCTCAGGCCTGTAATCCAGCACTTTGAGAGGCCAAGGCAGGCAGATTGCTTGAGTTCAGAGGTTGGAGAACAGGCTGGGCAACATGGCCAAACCTTATGGATACTGCTGGGAACAGAACGGACGAAGCTCCTTCCTTCACGGAGCTGCCAGTTTAGTGCGAATAAGAGAAAACAAACATCAGCAAGATCTTAATGTATATAAGATAATGTCAGGAGGCAATAAGGTGTTGAGAGGGGAGGGAATGGGAGCCAGGATGGCAGGCAGCTAGAGCACAGGGGAGTCAGTGACTTGTTCATTCATTCCTTAGCACCTAGAATGCCCTCCATTTTTCAAACAAATGGCACATTTATTGAGCACCAGTTGTGTGTGTGTGGCACCTGCCCCAATAGGTGTTTAATGATTGCAGGTCGCATGGAACGTCTCACCAGGGACACGGTTGTGATGATGGTGGCTGTTTCCCTGGGGAATTTCACTGCCATTCTTTCCCCAGGTCTGGGATGAGCAGCTGGGGAGGGCTGCCGAGGCCTGGGCCACCCAGTGCATCTGGGTACAGGGACCTTCACAGCTGATGAGATACGTGGGCCAGAACCTCTCCATCCATTCTGGCCGGTGAGTGACCCTCTGCCCTTCCTTCACTCAGTCATTCAACAAACACGCATTGAACACTTACTCTGTACCAGGTGCTGCGCTTGACACTGGGATACCATGGTGAACAAGGCAGACAAGCTCTCCACCTGCAGGGAGCCTGCATTCTAGTTAGGAGGGGCAGGCAAAAGCCTAACAAAGTTGTGTGCACATTGAATTGAGGCAAGTCTTGTTTTGTTTTGAGAACAAATAAGTGCACAGATTGTCATGGAGAGTGAGGAGGGATTGGGAGGCTCTAATGTAGGATAAGGGGGCCTGGCGTGGTGGCTCACGCCTGTAATCCCAGCACTTTGGGAGGCCTAGGCGGATGGATCACTTGAGATCAGTAGTTGAAGACCAGTTTGGCCAACATGGCGAAACCCCATCTCTACTAAAAATACAAAAATTAGCCCAGCGTGGTGGTGCATGCCTGTAGTCCCAGCTACTGGGGAGGCCGAGGCAGGAGAATCACTAGAACCCGGGAAGTGGAGGTTGCAGTGAGCAGAGATTGTGCCATTTCACTCCAGCCTTAAATTATTAATTTTGAGACAAAATATAATAACAGCTAATCAACAAAATAAAATAAAGATAAGGGGACCAGGTGCGGTGGTGCATACCTGTAGTCCCAGCTACTCGGGAGGCTGAGGCTGGAGGATCTCTTGAGTCCAGGAGTACTGGGCTGTAGTGTGCTATGCCGATCGGGTATCTGCACTAAGTTCGGCATCAATATGGTGACCTCCCGGGAGCGGTGGACCACCAGGTTGCCTAAGGAGGGGTGAACCGGCCCAGGTCAGAAACGGAGCAGGTCAAAACTCTGGTGCTGATCAGTAGTGGGATCGCGCCTGTGAATAGCCACTGCACTCCAGCCTGGGCAACATAGCTAGACCCTGTCTCTGAAAAAAAAAATTAAAAAAAAAAAAGAAAAAAAAAGATAAGGGGATGCGCGGCATGGGGCATAGGATTTAATTTTTTTTTTTTTTTTGAGACGGAGTTTCATTCTATATCACCAGGCTGGAGTGCAGTGGCGCAATCTGTGCTATAGCATAGCGGTGGGGGTGCTGGAGGGGGGGCAGCAAGCCAAGGGTGCCCCACCAAAGTGTGAGAATGACCAGTCAAGGGCCCTGTCTGCGTATTTCCACTTTCTAAACTTTCTAAACCTTGGCATCCCTGTTTATAAAACAAAGTGTTAGCCTAGCTCAGTTCTTTCCAGACTTGTGGATTTCTTAAGCCTATAAAATTGCAAAAAGACATCTGTGAGACTGCCACGTGATTGTCAGATTTTTATTTTGCCAAATAAGGATGTTAGAAAAACAACTACCTTCCTAGCCTCGCCATTCTGCCATCACCCTGGGGAGAGTGGGAAAGAATTAAGGCCGGTCCTTTCAAGTGAGCCCGGTGGAAAGTCAGGGCCCTGACTGCATTTTTTCATGTCTTTAACTGGTCACGACCAGCACCAGCCTCTGAGAGCCATGAATGGTCCTTCAGATCCCTACAGAGCAGACATCTGGTGATTCAGTCCTGCCTCCATTTCACATCCCCTCTCCCCTGCCACTGAACTCTTCCTGCCAGACTCCACCCCTACCCATGGCCATCACTCAAGGGGCTCATAGAGAGAAAGAAATCGGTGTTAGAGGCTGGGCACGGTGGCTCACGCCTGTAATCCCAGCACTTTGGGAGGCCAAGGCAGGTATATCATGAGGTCAAGAGATTGAGGCCATCCTGGACAACATGGTAAAACCCCGTTTCTACTAAAAATACAAAAAATTAGCTGGGCGTGGTGCCATGCACCTGTAGTCGCAGCTACTCTGGAGGCTGAGGCAGGAGAATCACTTGAACCTGAGAGGCAGAGGTTGCAGTGAGCCCAGATTGCGCCACTGCACTCCAACCTGGTGATAGAGCAAGATTCCGTCTCAAAAAAAAAAAAAAAAAAAAATTCAGAAAGCAGTGTTGGAGACAAGCTGTGCCGCTGTAAATCATGAATGTGCTTTTTTCCAGATTTTCTCCCTCATTGGCCCTTTTATGCATATTTTTGTATATTTGTGCCTCTGTCAAATATGTGTGATCAAAAAAGCCCTCAAAGGCAGGGCACGGTGGTTCACACCTGTAATCCCAGCACTTTGGGAGATCAAGGTGAGCGGATCATCTGAGGTCAGGAGTTCGAGACCAGCCTGGCCAACATAGTGACACCTCATCTGTACTAAAAATACAAAAACTAGCCAGGCGTGGTGGTGCACACCTGTAGTCCCAGCTACTTGGGAGTTTGAGGCACAAGAATTGCTTTAACCCAGAAGGCAGAGGTTGTCGTGAGCTGAGATAGGAAACTGAGATGAGGGAAGGGAAGCAAAGTGACTCACCCAAGGTTACCAGCAAGTTGGCGGCCCAGCCGCTTTTCCATCCTCTCCCCCCCTGGCTTCGTCTGTGTCCCACCTCCCCAGGTACCATTCTGTGGTGGATCTCGTGAAGTCCTGGTCTGAGGAGATGCGGCATTACTTGTTTCCGGCCCCGAGGGACTGTAACCCACACTGCCCATTATGGGCTTCTTTTTACCAAAGAAGCATATTCCCAGAAACTTGTATGCACATTGAATGGTAGTGAATCTTGTTTCTTTGTTTGTTCATTTGTTTTTTTTGTTTTTTTTTTTTTTTTTTTTTGAGACGGAGTTTCACTCTTGTTACCCAGGCTGGAGTGCAATGGCGCGATCTCGGCTCACCGCAACCTCCGCCTCCTGGGTTCAGGCAATTCTCCTGCCTCAGCCTCCTGAGTAGCTGGGATTACAGGCACGCACCACCATGCCCAGATAATGTTTTGTATTTTTAGTAGAGACGGGGTTTCACCATGTTGACCAGGCTGGTCTCGATCTCTTGACCTAGTGATCCACCCGCCTCGGCCTCCCAAAGTGCTGGGATTACAGGCTTGAGCCACCGCGCCCGGCCAGGTGTTCATTTGTTTTTTGAAACAGTCTTACTCCGTTGCCCAGGCTGGAGTGTAGTGGTGAGATCTCGGCTCACTGCAACCTCTGACTCCCAGGTTCAAGCAATTCTCCTGTCTCAGCCTCCCAAGTATCTAGAATTATAGGTGCATGCCATCACGCCTGGCTAATTTTTTGTATTTTTTTAGTAGAGACAGGGTTTCGCCATGTTGGCCAGGCTGGTCTTGAATTCTTGACTTCAAGTGATCCACCCACCTCAGCCCCTCAAAGTGCTAGGATAACAAGGGTGAGCCACTGTGCCCCACTATGAATCTTGTTTTCTTTCTAGTATCTTAGGTATTTTCTGTTTTCTCAGGCTTTCTCCCACTATCTTAAAAAAAAAAAAAATAACAAAAATTGTAGTATTTTGCCAGGTACAGTGGCTCATGCCTATAAACCGAGCACTTTGGGAGGCTTCGGTGGGAGGATCGCTGGAGGCCAGGAGTTGGAGACTAGCCTGGGCAATACAGTGAGACTCAAAAAAAAAAAAAAAAAAATGCCAGGTGTGGTGGTGGGTGGTGCATATCTGTAGTCCTAGCTACTCAGGAGGCTGAGACAGGAGGATCACTTGAGCCTGGCAGGTCAAGGCTGCAGTGAGCCTTGATTGGGTCACTGCACTCCAGCCTAGGCAACAGAGTAAGACATTGTCTAAAAAAAAAAAAAAAAAAGCTGTAGTGTATTGAGTGCCAATATCGAATGTGTTAACACTTATTATATATAAAAGCACAGTGCAAGATACTGTCGCAAGTACTCGGACAGAAGCTTCCAATTGTGTGACGACAAATGTCTTCTTTCAGCCCTGTCTCTGTGACTCGAAGATAACATCAAAAGCCTAAATGTGAGACCTTCTAAGAAACGTGACACTTAAACCAAATGTCCTTCCTGAGTTCCCATGATACATTATTACCTTCATTTTACTAGTGAAGAAACTGAGGCACACAGAGGTTGAGTCAAAGTCACACAGGTTGTGTGAAAGTCACAGGGACTTCTGAATCCATGTGAAGTCACAGCGTGGTCAAAGTCACACAGCTGGTGATATTGAGATTCTGATCCAAGTCTGTTTGACTCAAAAGCTCGTGTTTTAACAACAATACAACAATGATTTTCCTGGTCAACATGGTGAAACCCCGTCTCTACTAAAAAAATACAAAAAATTAGCTGGGCATGGTGGCGCGTGCTTGTAATCCCAGCTACTCAGGAGGCTGAGGCAG